GGTTTCAGATGAGAAATCAGCAGTTAGTCTGATCGGCTTTCCTTTATAGGTTATTTGTTGCTTTCATCTCGCTGCTCGAAGAATTGCTTCTTTCGTATTTACTTTGGTCAGTCTAATAACTACGTGACGTGGTGATTGCCTTTTCACATTGAGTCTCCCAGGAGTTCTGTGTGCTTCTTGTATCTCGATGTTCAGATTTCTGGCCAGGCCTGGCATATTTTTCTCCAGTATTCCATGAAATAAATTTTCCAGCCCTTGAGTATCTTCTTCTTCTCTCTCTGGAAGACCGATGATCCTAAGGTTCTGTTTCTTTACATAATCCCACACGTCTTGAAGGCTTTGGTCTTGGCTCTTGCGTCTGAGTTTTTTTCTTTCTCTGATTTGTTCATCACAAAGACATTATCTTCAAGCTCTGACATTCTTTCCTCTGCATGATCCATTCTGTTCTTGAGGCTTTCCATTGTATTTTCAAGTTCCCTGAATTCCTCCTTCATTGACAAAATTTCTGCTTGGTTTTTCCTTAGTATTTCAATTTCTGTGGAACATTTCTCATTCATTTCCTGTATTGTTCTCGTGGTTTCTTTATGTTGGGATTCTATTTTCTCTTCTACTCCATTCAGTTTCCTTACAATCCATAATCGGAATTCTTCCTCTGTCAGCTTAATTGTATCCTGTACATTGGTATCTGTTGGTGGAGATCGAATATTTTCTTTTGGAGGTGGCTTTTCTTTCTGATCTTTCATGTTTCCTGTGTTCTTTCATTGATTCTCATTGGTCTACTTTTTCAAGGACTGGATGTGCTGTGACTGGTTTGTGAACTTAATTTTGGGGCTCCAAAGGGAACGTCCTTGGCAGAGCTGAAGAGGTGTTCCCTGGTTTTGTGCTGTCTTGGTGGGGTTTTGGCCTGTTGGATTATCACTGGCCTGTTATCTGCTCTTTCTGCTTACAGAGATTAGTGGGTTTCTTTTTCTTGCTTAGCTTTCCAGGAGTTGGGTCACTTTTGAGTGTGTGACTCCACTATCGACTACTTGGTTGAGGTGGGAGGCACTGGGTTAAGTTATGAGGTTGCTCTCTCTTTTGTTGCTTGAATTTTGTGTGGAGGGGTCAGTTGTCAAGGTATTCCAGGATCTTTGAATTGAACTCTAAAATCCGAAATGGGACATACAAAAGCCTGAGTCTTTGGGAAATGTTTTGCCACTCCCAAGGGCTACTTGTTACTTATTACCACTTAAGATGTGGTGAGAAGAGCAGCAGGAATCAGCGTGCCTGAGGCAGTATACTTCAGGAATCGCTTGACCTGTAGCTAGGAGAGAGCTTTTAGCATGTTATTCAGGACTTATTAGGCACTCTTGTGGAGGAATTCCTAATGAGTATGCCAGTTGGTGCAATTTCTGAGGACTCTGGTCCAGATTTTCCTTTCCAGACCACTAGCCCCTAAGATGGCTACAGGCTGGGCACCGAATGCAAGCTTGTGTTATGTTCTTGTCAGATGTTCAAAACCAATCAGCTGTATCGCGCCACCACACTGTCCCCTTTTGCTGAGATCCAGGGTCATACAGATTCAGGCTAGTCCTATGGGGAAAGTATTTTTTCTCCTATCTCCCTACCTTCAGGAGCGGGCTCTGTCCTGGAGGGCTGTGGGAGTGGTTTTGGCTGAGACTGTCACAAGGTCCGGCCTGAAAAATGTCTTCTCTCATTTCTTTCCTCCTCCAAGGGCAGGTTTTCACCTGCCAGAGGGGCAGATAACCCCCCAGACTGAGGGAAGGGCATTTCCTGGGGCTACCTGGCATCTCAGTTCAGGAAGGGCGACCCTTATTATTCCACCCCTTCAAGAGCAGGGTTGACTAGCTGGAAAGAAGTACACACTTCAGGGACTTTATAGAGGTCCGGCCTAAGACCCCTGAGCGACCCAGACCAGAAAGCAGCCTGTCCTGCTATTCCACCCCAGCGGATGTGGAGTCAGTCCCTTTAGTACGCAATATCGGTGGTCAGATCGTAGTCAAGGGACATTCACCTCCCCCACAGGGTCACAGTTCAAAGAACAGCTTCCCTTGTCCCTCCGCAGTGCCAAGGGTGGGGAACTAATTCCTTGTGAGGAGGCACTGATTGCCAAGTCACCGTGAAAATAAGCTACAGGACCCCGCTGGGAAAACAGCCTCCTTCACTCTCTACTCGGCCCTTCCCGCGGTGGAATCCGTCCGTTTGGCCGGCAGCTCCAGCCACCAAGTCCCAGCAGAGAGGTGACCGCGTGTCTCAGCTTGAAGAGCGGCCTCCTTGGTGGCTAGACACTCTCAAGGGTGCGTGCTGTCTCCTTGGTGCAAAACAGCCCCGCTGAGGAGATTCAACAATCGGGCTCCTGTAGTCGTGGGCTACATACACACACCCACACACATACACACTCGCAGAAAGAGAGCAAAGAGGAGGAAGAAGGGAATGAGAAGGAAAGAAGAAAAATGTATATATACATGTATAAATATATACAAAAAAAGCAAGATAAAGAGCAAGAATTAAAAGAAATATGTATATAGAGAAGGGAAAAGGAAAAAAAGGAAAAAAAGGAAGAGGAAACGAAAAGAAAAGAAAAAAAGAGAAAAAGAAAAAAGAAAAAAGAAAAGAAAGAGAGAAGAAAAAGGAAAAGAAAAAAGGAAAAGAAGAGGAAAAGAAAAAAAAACAACAACAACAATAACAACAACAAAAAACTCACACAAAAAAACAACCCCTTTACTCCGCCTGGAGGCAGAGGCAGGTCTTTTGGCACGATGTGTGGGTAGGGGTCGAGTCGCCTGGTGGAGGGGCTAGTTATGTCGTCTCGGATCACTACTACACACACACAAAAAAAAAAAAAAAATGGCCCCTTTCCTCCGCCTAGCGGCAGAGGCCGGCCCTTTAGCGTGGTGTGTTGGGGCAGAGGTCGGGTGGCCTGGCAGAGGGGGATTTATGTGTCCCGGATCACAGTTCTATAAGCAGTCTCTCTCAGTCCACTCTCAGTTCCCCGTCATTTTGCGGACAGCGCCAGCGACTGAGTGGCTCTGTAAAATTATTCATAGAATATCGTATGCTTGAAAATTGCTAAGAGAGTAGATTTTAAGTGTTCGCACCACAAAAAATAAGTATATGAAGCAATAAGTATGCTAATTAGCTCAAATTAGCCATTCCACAATGTACACATATTTCAAAACATCATGTTGCATACTAAAAATACATACAATATTTGTCAATTCATTAATAAAAATGTAATGAGAGTATGTCTTCAACGTGATTGCCTCATTTTTTGATTAAAATCTTGATAAAAGTTACTTGTTCTGTTCTTTCTCTAGTGTCCAAGCATCTCCTCTCTAATTCCCTTTGTTTTGTCATATTCCTTTTTCAGGAGAGAAGCCTTATAAATGCACCTGGGACGGCTGCTCCTGGAAATTCGCTCGCTCAGATGAGCTCACCCGCCATTTTCGCAAGCACACAGGCATTAAGCCCTTCCGGTGCACAGACTGCAACCGCAGCTTTTCCCGCTCTGACCACCTGTCCCTGCACCGCCGGCGCCATGACACCATGTGAACAGCATAGGCTGCACTAGAGAAGCTGTGCTGTTCTCTTTCCTGTGTGTGTGCTGAGGTCAAGACTATTTTTTTCTATTTGACTTCAATGTGTTTCTGGGATGGAGTTGAAGCAGCCCACTGAGCCAGGTGGAGGACACTGGAGGAAAAGATAGCTTGTCTCCCACGGAGCTCTTCATATTACTTCACCTCTGCACTCCCCAGACCCCAGTTTTTTCAACCTCCACATGGGTTGAATTCTAGTGCGGCACCCATGGTTGCCCCCTATTCCCTCTGCTCTGAAATAGGACATTTTTTCCTATAGTAACAAAACAAGAATCAAACTCAAGGCTGTGAACAAACATACGCTGCTTTTTTCTTTCCTATTGTTTTCTCTTGTTTCTTAGAAGTTTTATCCATATATATTTTTAATCAGTACTGAAAAGTGGTTGATAGTGTCCTAGAATGACTTTTGTTCAAAAGCTCCTAGACGACAGGGGCATAACAATGTAATTGATTGGTAAGAGTCACAGGGATTTGAATCCTGAGTATAGGGCACATTGTCAGTGAATAAGCTGAGTCCCATACCAAGCTCAAAGGTTTTATAAATCCAATCCTATTTCTTCTTAAAGTTTGGTTTTCAGACAGTGCTGGTGCTTCTGCTTCTTAAGTCCATCAAGGGAGTGAAGGGGCCTTCTTGTCCTTGTCCTACTCCTCCTCCTCTTCCTTTTTCAGGATTAAAGATTTTGATGCACCATTATATTCTTTGTTAGATTAAATTTGGACAAATACTCAAAGAACACATAGACATGTCAGTAGGGAGAAAAGTGTTCCAGGAGTATGTTGGTTAGTGACAGGAACAAGCAGACTTGGGACAATCCTGAGAACAAATAGAGGGAGACTTTCACTTGGATTGGATATCAAAAGTGCTTTTAATCACAAACCTTACTCAAACAGCAGCCTGTTGAGACAGTGTCTTGAGGGGCTGCACTGTATTATTTATTCTTTTGTTTACATAAAGTAACAGTTGACTATATTGCATGATGAGAATTCACACACTGGGGCCACGTTATATGGAAGTGAAGGATTGAAAGGAAGGAATTTTGTTCACTCTATGACATTATTTGCATTCATTCCTATGTTTCACATGGAATATAAGAGGCTGTTCATGAAAACTGACACATAAAAAGCAATTGGATATTCTGCAACTGCTATGAACACCTAAGCCATTTCTTTTAGCCATTACAGCATGTTGCATAATATATACATTTTTTTGCCCAATCAGATTGTTTTATAATATTCTCTGGGGCATAAAACCCTTTGTTCCTGGCCCTGGACCTCAGATCTACCTCTACATGGCATGTTTCCTCTCTTGGGCTGAGTAGTGGTGGTAGAGGGGGCTTTAAATCACTTGGATTTGAACTCAGCCTCTCTTTTTGTATTTGTATTGAATTCTATTTTCCTTGGCAGATATTTAACCAGTCCCAGCTGAAATACTTCTGATTGCTACCTCCTGAGGCTGTTCATTGTGACTAAATCATAGAATTCTAGCACCAAGAAGGGATCCTGTTAGCCTTCTAGTCCCAACTATCCCTCATATTTTACAGAGACAAATACGGGTCAGATTCTTTCTCCAGATGTTTCCTTGAGGCCTTATAGACCTGCACACCCATTCTCCCAGGGATCACATTACTAAACCAAATTAAAGAAAATTTTATGTGATTGGTTGCAATATTTGTCCAATTTTATATGTGATATTTAAGAAAACTTTAGATCACTCAAAAATCATTTACAGACGATTAAGTAGTAAGTAAAATGTGCTTGTGGTCATTGCTATATGATATTAGGCACATAGTTTTTCTATTTTGCCACTTCTATAATATTTAGATTTTATTTGCTTCATTTCAATTTGCAATGTTTTTCCAGACCATAAACCTTCCATAAATTCAAGGACTTCCTGTATTTTTCAAAATGGCACGTGGGTTTTTTTTTTTTTAAGACTAGTCAAGTGCAGTAGTGAGAAGGGGGTTAAATAGTAGAACGAGGAGTTCAATCTGTAACTGACTGAACAATCAAGTGAGATAACTCACTACCTTCGGACCAGCCAAGGCATGGGGGTTTTTACTATTATCATTGCTATTTTGATCTGGATTTTTTCCTGATTTTTGGTGTGCAAGTTTCAAACTGTATACTTATTTCTAAAGCACTAGGAAATATCTAGGGCCAATATGTTAAAGGGGACCTCTGTGTAGCTGTAAGATGGATTGATAAAGGTGAGTTACCATAAGTTTATGCTTATAATTGAGTGGTTGGCACAATATTTCACAGAAGATCCTAAGGGCTTGCCTATCTTCTCCACAGTTTGGATTCTGAGACTCCTTTTCCAGAGTGCAGAACTGACCTGAGTCCCTTAGACCCCAGAATCTTCTGCATTGTGACATATAATCTATTTATAAATAAAGGCTGTCAAATATACTGTTTTACTAATTTGGTTGATAAAATTAGGATTCCAAATATTGGTGTCCCTGACATCCCTGAGCCTTTATTCAAAAATTTTTCAGCAGGGTAATAAGAAACTTTTTAAATGTTTTTTTAATTGTCTATATTCAGGAAATAATTCTGACCCTATTCTCATTGCCTTGTCCCCTCCAAAAAATGATAAAATCTTTCCAATTATTTATATATGCTTTAAGAAATGTGTCAAGATTTATTAAGGGAATTTCATAGAGTACAGGAGTTCAAATGCAGTGCAGTACAGAGTTATTATGCCAAAAATACATAAAATTTTGCTAGATAGAGAGATGGACAGGAACTAAAATATATCTCCTTTCAGTAGCATTTGGGTTTTAATTGAATTTGCTATGCTTATACCAGCAAAGCACTGTTAGTGTGGACAGTTGCTTAGGGCATGGAAAATAGCCTTCTTTGATAGGGTTAGATAATATTCTGGGATTTGTTGCAGTGGGATTCCTCTATCTGTAGATGATTGGCAATTAAATGTAACTTGATAATTATGATTATAAAATTTAGGAAAAACTATAATGAGTGTGAACTGGTTGGGTAGATTAGATGGAATACATTTTGGGCAAGACAAAAGTTTGTGATAGTAACTTCTTTTAAAATAAACTTTTCATTTTGGACCTGTTTCAGATTTACAGAAAAATTGTGAGATAGTACGGAGGGGTCCCATATACCCCACATCCAGTTTCCCTTATTATTATTAATAACATCTTACATTAACATGGTACATTTGTTACAATTAATTAAACAATATTATGTTAATATTAACTGAAGCCCATACGTTATTCAGATTTCCTGAGTTTTTGCTTAATATCCTTTTTCTGTTGTTGTTGCAGCATCCCATTCAGCATACCACATTACATTTAATAGTTATATCTTCTTAGGCTCCTCTTGGTTGTGACAGTTTCTCAGTCTCCTTATTTTCAATGAACTTGACAGTTTTAAGGAGTATGTTCCTCAAGTAGGATTTATCTGATGTTTTTCTCATGATTGGACTGGGATTATGGGATTTGGAGAGTAGGGCCAAAGACGTGAAGTGTTGTTTTCATCACATCATACAGGCATACCTCAGAGATAATGTAGGTTTGACTCCAGACCACCACAATAAAGTTATTATCACAATAAAGTGAGTCACATTAATTTTTGGTTATGTTTACACTATGCTGTAGTCTGTTAAGTGTGTAATGGCATTATGTCTAAAACAATGTACATAGCAATTAAAAATTACTGCTAAAAAATTCTGACACAGAGACACAAAATGAGCACATGCTGTTGTAAAAATGTCACCAATAGACTTGCTCATCACAGGGTTGCCACAAACCTTTAATTTGGAAAACATGCAATATCAGAAAAGTGCAATAAAGTGAAGCAAAATAAAATGAGGTATGCCTGTATTTACATGATTTATCACTCTTGGATGAAATAGTATTTGTCAGATTTCTCCCCTGTACTCCTTTTCCTCCCTTCCATACTGTACTCTTTGAAAGGATGTCACTAAGAACAGCAGCCCATACTTAAGGAATAGTAAGTTATGCATCACATCCTTGAGAACATCTACATAAATTATTTGGAATTCTTCTGCATGGGAGATTTGTCTCTTTTCCCCCTTTTATTTATTCATATAATTCATTTATTTATATCAGCATGGACTCATGGATATTTATTTTGTACTTTGGGTTGTAATCCAATACTCTCTTATTTATTTTGTTGCTCAAATACTTCCACCACCTTTGGCCATTGTTAGTTCTTTTGGGTTGACTCTCAAGTCCTTTTGACATACCCCCATCATTTTTTTAACATGTCCTTACTTTCTTCCACCACAAGATGTTCCAGGCTCATCTTATATATGTTTTGCCCCCCTCAGCTATTTCTTTAAGGAGTCCTGGTTTCTTTTACTGGAGAATTATATTAGAAACCAATATCTGACATTAGGTATCCTTGTTGCTACTGGGATATTGTTGCTTCTAGGATTTCTCAGCTGACAGAGCAGGGAAATATATGTGTATATATACTAACCTATGTATATATACATATCTGTGAATATTTCTACATTCATATGGAATTCATATAGTAATCATACATTATTTAGCTAAACATGAGTTCATATTGATGGCTTCAACTCTAATCAATTATCATATGAATTTTTCTAGATTCTTTTTCTTATTTATATGTAACCTCCCACTCCAACAGTGAGAAACCTGGCTCTCAACCCCTATTAGTTGTTGAAGTTAAGCATACATATATAGCAGTATCTGAATTGTTAACCTGTACAGCTACAGGAAACAACTTTATCAACTAGAGTACTATGCTTATGTACATGATGGTAACATTTTCAGAACTCCAACAGCTCTTTAAAACAAGATGGTTTGCAAAATTTTGGAATTAGGGATTTCTGTGATCTGAGTTCCAAGAATCTAGGGTCTATCCTGCCTCCAAAATTTTTCTAATGAACCAAAATATTGGGAATTGACCTAACCTTGAATAAGCCAAGGGAATTTATTGATCCTCTATAGTATGCTAATCCCTACAAGAGGTACTACTGTAGAGGGATGAACACAGAAGAAACTAAGTGGAACCAATTTAAATAAACACTTAACGCTATCTTTTCTCACTGCTAAATATGGCTCTCTGACAACAGGGCTGCTACTCTGAGTTACCTCTCTTCCATATTTCTCTACTCTCTCACTCGGTTGACCTTAGGCAA